CATCTGTGACCCTTCTGCAATAATCCCGGGTTCCCGCGACTGCAGGCTGTGGGACTCCAACCCATTTCCTCTGCACTTGTACACTGACATATTAGGTCAGCACGGTGCAATCCTCTCCTCGGCTCAACATGTCACCTTTCTCTATCCCACACTCCTTTTCCTCCATTTACCTGCAACAAGTGCAATTATTTTCTCCTTCAGTTTATTCTAATGCTTGTCAAATGGCTGAAATGAGATTACCAGGGTTTTAGTTGCCCGGATTCACTCATCTTTCCCCTTCCTCTAGGCAGGTCTATACTCTCCAGTGATACAGTACTACCCAAACTTGCTGTCAGACTCACAATTTTGAGTGCCAGCTCACCCAGACCTCTGTGATGGAGATGACCTTCGTTCTGCTGCTAATGCAGTATGAATATTTAGCCAAACCTGTCCTTTTTCTACAGGAATCTTTTCTCTCAAGTTTTCATTTGCTTCTAGGCTTCTAGATATTTCTGGTTTAGCGTGAAATAAAAGCAGCTGAGCTTTCAGTTCTTCTTTGGTCCATATTCCAGTGCTCCTCTTCCTGTGTATAGTGTCTCCCAGGGCACGGAGGCATCATGCAGATCTCCAGAAGGCTGTTGCACCAGACTGTATGTGACACATCAAATCCTCTGCCTCATCGTTCTGCTGCTCCTGTGCATCACACTGATTCTTTTTCCTTATAACATCTCCTGAAAATCCTCCTCTCTACAAAGTACTTATCCCTTCCGCAGTATGCAAGTGCTGCCAAAACACTAACATAACACAGAGCAAATCCCTCTCAGCTGCAGGGAGAATAAGCTCATCTGACCACTGACCCCAGCAATAAATAGCCATTCACCTTTCATTTACTCTTTCTCTGATGAACTCCCTTTGATTTCACTTACTCAAGAGAGGGCTAAGCAAGGCTCCTAGTAATCGACCCAGAATCTCTGGTGAAGCAGGTCGAAGCATCTCCAGATCTGGTGTTTGTAGGAATTCAGAAAGTCTCACACCCCACCTGTGATGCTACCATGGACACATGCAGTTGCCATCAACAGTCAGGGGCAAAGGAAACATTAGAGGGTAGAGTTCGTCCCATTTTTTTGAGGAATGTGTCCACTTCCACAGCAGTCATGTTCCTTAGCAAGATGCTTCCATTTCCCTTATCTCCATCCTGAGGTCAGACTCCTGACAGTAACCACTGTTTTGCAGTGGGGATGAAGTCTTGCAGAGAGACAGGCCTAATCTCAGATAAGTTTGCTGATGACACAAAACTGGGAGGAGCGGCAGATACACCGGAAAGCTGTGCTGCCATTCAGTGAGACCTGGACAGGCTGGAGAGTTGGGCAGAGAGGAACCTGATGAAATTCAACAAGGGCAAGTGCAGGGTCCTGCACCTGGGGAGGAACAACCCCATGCACCAGTACAGGCTGGGGTGGACCTGCTGGAGAGCAGCTCTGTGGAGAGGGACCTGGGTGTCCTGGTGGACGACAGGTTGACCATGAGCCAGCAGCATGTCGTTGTTGCCAAGAAGGCCAATGGTCTCCCGGGGTGCATTACGAAGTTTGGCCAGCAGGTCGAGGGAGGTTCTCCTCCCCCTCTACACTGCCCTAGTGAGGCCCCATCTGGAGTACTCTGTCCAGTTCTGGTCTCTCCAGTTCAAGAAAGATGAGGAGCTACTGGAGAGAGTCCAGTGGAGGGCTACAAATTACATTAGGGGACTGGAGCATCTGTTCTACGAGGAAAGGCTGAGGACGCTGGGCTTGTTTAGCCTGAAGAAAAGGCTGAGAGGGGACCTTATAAATGCCTATAAATATCTTCAGGGTGGGTGTCAGGAGGATGGGGCCAGACTCTTTTCAGAGAGGCTGTGGAGTCTCCTTCTCTGGAGATATTCAAAACCCACCTGGACGAGGTCTTGTGCAGCCTGCTCTAGGTGAACCTACTTTGGCAGGAGGGTTGGACTAGATGCTCTGCAGAGGTTTCTTCCAACCCCTACCGTTCCATGATTTTGTGATAAGGAATAAGCACGAGTGGCATACAGAGCTCCTAAGTAAAGCAAGTGCCTCTACATGAATCCAGGAAAGGAAGAAACTCCCTTTTCTCTGGAAAATCAGCTGAGAGAGAAACACAAACTCTCCACAGACAGCACTGGGCAGGCATGTGTCATTTTGAACTTACTACACACTGATAAAAATACTAACACTCCCTACCAGAACAAACAGACACCTACGCCTTATTCCCAAAGCCCTGTTATTTCTCCACCGGGTCACTTCTTCTAGCTAATAGACAGCACTTTTTGCATCAGTCTCCACTAGAGAAGCAGCTGCGTTAGCCACCTGCTTGCAGATAAAGCCAGCGACAGCGAGCTCTCAGCCTCAGATAGAGACACAGCAGACTAGAGGGGACAAGACAGATGTTTTCCAGTCACCTGGACCGCACCCTAAAGTATTCAATGAACTGGCTCAGCAGCCTCAAAACCAGCAACAATTCTCTTTGGGAACTTGTGTAGAACAGGTAGGGTGTCAAAGGACAGAAAAAAGTACAAACGTAGTGCCTAGCCTTAAGAAGGCAAAAAAGGGAAAAGAGCTGACCTATGATTTCAGTTCTCAGAATAACACGATTGATTATTTGTAAGCACTTGAAAAAAAAAAACAAATACGAGTAGCAACCCAAGTGGATTTGTCAAGGGCAAATCACTACTGAAAAAATAACTGTATTTCTTTTTACGAGAAAAAAAGTATCATAGGGGAGAAGCAAGACAGGAACTGGAATTCAGCAAGGCTTCTGACACATCACTTTCACAAACATGCCAAAAAATGTTATTAATGATACTACTGTAACACAAGTTCAGAAGTGGCCAAAAAACTCCCCAGGAGTTCTCAGTGGTCTCACTGTAGAAATGGAAGGACGTTATTACTTCGGGGTCTGCCTAGGAACCAACTTTGTTTAGTGTGTTCATTATCAACCTGGATGATGGAGTAAAAAGTATGTTTATTAAATTGCAGAGCACATGAATCCGGAAAGAATGGCAGGTATGTTGGAAAGCTCTGCCAAAGGCACTTGGCAAATTGGAGAAGCGTTCTGGAAGAAAGAATCGGTAGGGACCAGTGCCCGGTGCTGCTCTTTGGCAGGAAGAGCCAACGGCACCAGCCCAGGGTGTGGAGCTGGGGAGGCAGCTGCTCTTCAGTTCTTCCTGACACCTGGAGTCTCAAGGAACTGGACACTCACCTTCAGACCCATGCCACTGTGGAAAAGGCTGGCAAAGCAGTGGATACATAAAAAAGGAGAACTGGGAGGCTAGTGAAGTGGCTGTTCACTACTCTCTATTTGTTGTACTCTGTACATTCTTGCGCACTGCTCTTCAAGAAAAAGATGAATCAACTGCAAGCATTCAAAAGAGCAACAAGAATTAAGAGATCTGGAAAACATCCCCTATAAGAACTGAAAAAAACCTGAGTGTTTACTCCAAAGAAATGAAGGATAAGAAGCCAACCACAAGAGCACTGAAGTAACATGCAACGCAAGAAGCTCAAGTTCTTTCTGCTCTCTGCCAAGCTGGGCACTGAAGCACTCAGTCAAGATTACCGCAATCACTCTCCCCAGTCTTCTAGCCAGTTGTACCAAACTATTCGCTTTATCCTTCCAGGAGCAGGCGATACCACATTAGAATCAAGTGATGACCACATGACTGCAAACATCAGGCGGAAATTTAATTTGTTTTGAAGTAAACCAGTCCACCCTTTGAACTTCAAGCGAAACACCAGGAGTCCTTAGAACTGCCTTCAGGTTTCAGGGCACTGACACTGCCAGGGCTTTCCCTTACCCAGAATGAAGATCAAGAGCATGACACAAACCCAAGAAAATTACTTCTGACTCAATTATTCATCTTACGAAAGCACACTTGTGCTTGCCCACAGGCTGACGGATAACTTCGTCCATCTGGTACCAGGAAAATAATTGCAAGTTGGTGCCAGTACGAGACAAGAGCAAGGTATGAGCCCTTAAGGCCATCTTTGTAACAACCGTATACAATTATATTCCCAGAATGTTTCGTTCTGTGTATGGTGAGCTGCCAGCCTCTTCTCTTTGCCTCCAAGCACATGATATAACTTCCCATCCTCTGAACATTAATCCATTTACCTGGTTATTTGTTGAAAAATCATTAAAGAACATCTGAAAGCCAAGATACAAGATTTTTAAAACAAGAACTACACCAAAATAGAGACCATTTATTCTGGACTACATGACAACAGATAAAGATGAGCCGATAAAGATGAGCCATCCCCTGAATGAGACATCAGCGATCACAACCTGATTCCCCTTAGGATGGGCCAATTACAGAGAACAACCCTGAGTACTAACAGGTCTATGGTACTTCAGAGGGCACTAATGCAACCGACTGGGACAAAATACTTACATGGGGAAAGCAGTGGATTCACCATTTCAACATTTTTAGATTAGACTTGATACTGTTCTTCTGGATGATACTTCAGCCAAACACAAATCACAGTACAGCAATAACAGAGCAAAATATAATGGCTTGTGCTACTCAAGAGGTCGTATTACGTCTGTGGATTGTAGCCTTTTCAACAAGTTGTGCTGCTGCTGTCTCCTCCTCCCCTCCTGTGCCATCCCATCCTTCTCCCCAAACTCCCATTTCCTTCCTCTGCTCTTGAATCCTAAGAGTTCACAAAAATCCATGCAAAAGTTGATCCTTTTACATACTTTTTAAAATAAATAAAAATGAAATTAATTGTTCATACCACACACTAACATAATCTTGAATAGAAAGCCTCATCTGCGATGCAAGGTCAGGTTACAGAGAGATCTCTTTGTAAAGCATATTTAATTAAAGCCAAAGTAAGCCTTCACTTAGATGCAGCAGGACACACAGAGGAACTCTCTTCAGACCAAAACGTGGCAAATATGACTGTGGTATCACGTCTGCCCACTGTTTCTAATTAGATGACCTTCTTGATGCCAGCTGACAGTGTTCTTACCACTTTCTCCTTGTAAACAATGTATTTCAGCCACTTGAAATCCTGCCATTTGAATCCTGCCAGAACAAACAGGGAATCCTTCTCATACTGCTCCATTTTCTGGATTGCACCTTCAGGATATGTGATCCGGAGAGTTGTCTTGCCACCCACATCTTTTTCAAAGCCCTTCACTGGAGCCGAGTTCAGCCTGCAGAGCAACCAGAGAAGACACCGTCATGGTTTCCCACTTACACTGCTGCATGCTGATCGTACAGCAATCACTGCAGCTGTTACAGCAGCAAACGTTACCTCTTGCAGCTCTTAATCACAAACATTTATGAAGCTTTATACTAAGTGACAACAGTTTAATTAGAAGCTATTTAAATTATTTCATTGAATATGATGCAGATGGCTTCTGTGATTTAAATTGGGTTGGAAGCTTTGGAAAAGCAAACTGAAAAACATTGACTTTGCAAATTTAGAGTTACAGGCTAAGCATTAATATTTTAACACCCCATTGCTCCTGGGATATCTTACTGGGATTCTGCAAGACTGTGCTAAAACAGAGGATGCAGCTCCACAGCAGTTTAAGCAAACTGAAACTCGTCTCACGCTCCAACCCCAGTCCAGAGCTTACACTGCTCATCTTACCTGCAGCGAGATTGTTTAGGGAACCAAGCCAGCTAATAATTTTCAAAACAGCGAAATGAACAATCTCCAGCTGGTTTACTTCCCCAAACTGGCCCATCCAGCAGGCGAGCTGCCCTGCAATGCCAGCTCAGAGGAAGAGCTTGGGCTGCGCAGCTGGGGTGAAGCTCAGCCCCACCGCGGTCTCACTGACTTGGAAGAGTTTCTGCTGTGGAAGTGCATCCCACTCTGAAAACAAGCAGAGACACAGCTTTGCTCCTGGGCTTGCTGATTTCTAAGGGAATGCTATGTGTTTAGCTGTGCTTTTGTTAAAAAACCGCTAAGGGACAAAGTTTTTTCCCTTCAAAAAACAAGTTGCTACGGCCTTAACAGCAATTATGACTTTAATGACATTAAAGTTATTCAGAACTTCTATTCAAAACTAGAAACCCAAAAATGAGGAACTTTCAAGTAACTTGGAATACAACTCTCGCTGACATCAAACAGCAGCCCCTGATGGAACAGCATTGCCTGCTTGAATTATTGCAGCCTTCTTGACTTCGGGTAGTTCAATATACTGGAAAGTGCCTATGAACAGCAAATTTTGCTGTGTAGGAATGTTAATGAGGATCTGGATTTGTCTTTTTCAGCCCGGGTAAGCATTTTAGGTGGGAAACATTTAGTATGAGAAAATCCCTGTATACAACCTGAAATTCTATTCAGAGTTAAGGAGAATAAATTCCTATGTATTTTTAGTAAAAATACTTACTTTATCTTTAGGAATAAAATATTAAAGTGAAGACAACTTAAGAATTGGTGCCACCACAATTTATACAGGAGAGGAAGCCTTTTTTTCGTGGTTTATAAACTCTCACTTTGTACCCTGACTTCGAGGTATCTAGACCTGACTGACTGCAAAAGCAAGTGCTCCCAGCCAGCCTGATCCCTTGCTTTTTCCTCTGTCACTGACAGCGCGTGCACACATCGCTCACTATTGCTGTGGGCATTTAAACTTCAAGGCGTTGTGTCTCTTTGGGGTAGATGATACAGCAAAAGCATGTGGCTCTAAAGCTAACAGAGAAATACAATGAAGTACTACGTAAAGAAAGCTAGTTATATAGATTTTCATCTGTATGAAAGTTTTGAACTTCCATATAGATGAAAATCTATATAACGTCTTGAAGTTGAGGGGAAGGTTAGTGTCTGCTGTTGTTTCAAATGTCAATGTGTAGCTCTTTGACAAGCTTTTCCCCACCTCCAGATGCTGGGTTCGCTGTTTTGCTGCTTACCTTGTTAAAGCTCCCCAAACTTGGGACCCCTACTTTGTATCTAGACAGGAAACAAAACAAACCATTTCCCCAAGTAAAATGAACTCAGGTCTCCAGCAAAGGGCAGAGTGTGAGCTGCTGACGGAGGCGCAGCGATGGAGCCCGGCTAAGGAGCCAGCACTGTCAGCCCCGCGGTCAGTGCCCCAGGGGCTGTGCAGGCAGCGGAGCAGGGAGAGTTCTGGCAGCCGCGACCTGTGTTCACAAAGGTGCACACCACACAGTCTGAACCCTTTCTCAGGCAGGACACACTGGTGGTTATAAACACAGCTAAATCTTCGAAAACCTGAGTGACGATGCCAGGCCTCCTCGTACTGCCCATGGACAGGCACTTTTCTCCATAAGAAGTTTCAGAGTGTTTTTCTGTTTCTGTATCCACGGACAACATAGGGAGCTTAGAGATGCTAACTCCCAACTAGGCACCATGAAGACCCTCCCAGATTTCACGAAAGTATCATAATTAGGTGAATCCCTATCTCATTCTGACCAGAATTTCAGATACGCACTTGTTTGTCCCCTGTCTGCAATCTGTTCTACGGAGGCAATTCAGAGCACTGATGACTGACTGCTGCAACAAGCTCCTGCCAGGTAAACAGTGTGACAGCTGGGAATAACATCTGCACTGAAATCTGATAATATCCAGTTAAAGAAAAACAGTAACTAACTCACTCCAAGCTGTTTCAGAACTGTCAAAATTGATCTGACTCTCGTCACCACAAGATCAAAATTTCTTGCAATTAGCGATCCTCACATAACACATGATGCATCAAAAAACTCCACATACTGCTGGATCACTCCCTTGCCCACAAATGTACCACAATTTTTCCCTTAAAAATCACCTCTTAGGTCCCAAATTGGATCCTTTAAAGAAGCTTTGCAATCCACGAAAAAGGATGCTATAAGACAAGGGACTTCTCCAGTTTCCATAGGAGTAAAGGAAGCAGTTGCATCCATTTAAGAAGTCTGCTCTCACCTCCTCAGTTCCACCTCCAGGCATCTGGCTTCATTTAACCTTTACAGTTGACTTTTCTCTCCTTTATCCATCCCACAAACAGCACAGGTGCTTAGCTGCCCTCTTATCCTTTCGGCTTGCAAACTGACTTAGATTTACTGATGTGGAGAGAAAAGGTTGAACTTTTCATTTGGAAATTAAATAGTGAACTTTCTGATGTAAATCTTAGTGGGTGGCTTAGTCCAGATGGATTGAAACTGTTCTCTTGCTACTTTTTGAACAGTCTGAGTCCAAGAAGAGGCTATAGCTGAATTTTAATTCAGGTCAAATAACTGCAAGTCGCCAGACTGTGATGAGTAGTAAGAGCTCTGCGCTAGCAACTGATAGTGGGATGAACTAGGAGAAGGTCTGTAAAAATTTCATCCTGTTCTGAAGTTATCCCTGTGTCCAGAGCACTGCCAGAGAAGCAGGGAACCATTCACAGGAATAAAGGACTGAAAGGGATCTTCTGGGTCTTTTTGTCCAGAGTTAGAGGGTATTTATTACTCTATGTATGTTCTATTCTTTCCTCCTGTGCCCATTACTGGTGTATGGAAGAGCAAGGAGACCATGCTAAATGACACTTTCTCCATGCCTTAAATTCTTTTACTAATCCTTTTCTTGCTTCCAACTTAGCTAAGAATTTGCTATTTGCCATCATGTCTCATGGTTGACTAAAGTTCAGAGGGATGATATCAGTTACATTCCCTTTAATAGGAAATCAGTTATCTTACTAAGGAAAAAACAAATACCATCTTAGACTACATGAAACCAGTTTTTATAAACTTACACTGCGGTTTATCCCACTTTCCTATTTACCATCATATTATTTTGTTACTCATGATTAAGAATCTGCTACAAGGCTCTGCATTTTTTTCAAGTCAGACTAATGGGTTTGTAGCTCCCTAGAGCACATCCCCCCTCCCTCCTACACACACTCTCCCCCTCACTCTCCATTAGTACAGGTATTATGTTTGTTAATCTCCAGTCACCCGGAACACCTCCCTGACTTGACAGATTTATTACTAGGAGTTATGACTAGACCTGTGATTTCACATATCAGCACGTTTTTCAAGCATTGTGAGATGGCGATGATCCAGGTCCTCAGCAAAAGCAGGAAGTCCTAACTTTGACTGTGGTTGTTTCCACTCCTGCACCACTCAGCTTCTGCCTCCTTATTCAACATCATCATCCACAGAGAAACAGAGGCAACGTATTCAGAACTTCTAGGGTGCACCTACAGGTGTTTAATCATTAGTGGGTCCTCACTCACGGAGGCTTACTGCTTCCTAAGACCCTATACCGCATTGTTCTTAGCTCTTCCCATCCACAAAGTGTGGGTCCTGGGGAATGCTACACACGTATGACCAACAACACTCCTCTGAGGTACCTAGGGGATGTATTCGGGAGCAGATCTAACAGTACATTTGACTGCTTCACCACCTAAGGGCATCACAAAAAGAGCTATAAAGAGAAGGTTCAAGTGGGGTCATAGGAGAGAGCCCATTCCAAATCAGCTGTGGAAAACTGAATGCTTGAGGAGCACCTTTACCCTTTGATGTCACCCCATTTATAACAAACATTGCTCTTGTTTTTTTCCCCTCCATGCTAGTTAATGCTTCAATAGTATGGATATTGTCACTAGTGTAGCTTTAACCTTTGCCTGCATAGCATGTGAACCAATACAGAAACCAAACATATGACAACACAACCGTGATGCCAAAGACTTACCTGACAACAACATCATAGTCATCAATTTTTAACCCCAATGACTTATTTGCAAGTACTCCACCATTTCCCACAATAATACATCGCCGGCAGCCAAGACTGTGGAAGAAACAGAGGCAAGTGGTGATTTTTGTAACACGACTTCAAACACACAGAGCTGCATATATTTAGTTTGCACCCATCTGAGAACTACAGGACACTTATTGGAACATTAAGAATTAAGGAGAGGACAGAGCTACACTTGATCCCCAGCTCACCCCATCACGCCAAGACATTACATGTGATAAACTGCTTTCAACACCTCAGACCACGTGTGGCCTAATGAGATGAGCTGTCAGGACAAGCAGCTCCTCTCCCCCCACACCCCTGGTATGATGGGCTTGAATCAAACCCATCTGTTTACTTAAACCTTCTCATTATTCATTTAGCACTGAAATAACAATAAACCAAAGGCTTAGTGAGGAAGTCTTCTCTCCAAGCGATTTTCTGAGTGCGGGCAGATCTTACTAGGTTATCTGGGGTGTGCTCACCTTGCTGAATGCAAAATTTCTGCAGTTATCATGAGACTTCAAGAGACAGAAGGCCACTAAATGGATAGAAATAGCCCCCCCCCCTCGTCGTCCAGTAGAAAATGTCTATGGAGACACAATGGGTGAGGAAGGGGAAGGAAAATAACCTTAATAAAGAAACAGGAAAGAGAAGGAAGAGAACAGTTTCTCATGGAACCACGAGTCACGAGAACTCTCTACATCAGATGTTAAAAAGTGATTTCGTTTTGAAGACAGAGAGAGGACTTCTTTCCAGTCATCTAATCCCAAACGCAGCTGGCTCTTCTGGCAATGTGCCTCCATCTCTGGTACTTCACTGAAGGAATACGTGTCTGCAGAGCCTTTTTCGGAAAGGGTCCAAGGCAATCAGTTGTTTGGAGCAGATCTCTGGGCCAGGCGGCCTTCCTAATCCCAGGCACAGTCGACTGGTCTCTTCTAGGCCGTCCTCGCTGAGATCAGTCTAAAGAGCCAGCATGAGGAAAGCTTTACTTATGTGGGGTCCATCTTTACAGAGCAGGGCTGGAGCGCACTTACAGACTCAGCTAAGCAACTGAAGGTTATCCTGCTGACAGAGCCACTGGCTGGAGATACGTGCAGAATCAAGAGCACCAAGAAATACTCGCAAACAGCTTCCCCAGCCCAGATAAAGTTTCACGGCAGATCCCAGCCTTTCCAAAAGAAAACATCTCCTCAAGAAGACAGACATATTAGCCCAGTGCTTGTATCCCTAATGGCCGAAGAAGTGTGGATGTTTATGATAATCAAATCCCAACAGATAAAGAACTTTATAGACAAAGACACAAAAGAAAATATAGTTCTGGCAACAAGGAGAAAACAGAGGCAAGATCTGGTTCAGGCAGAATTTTTACCTTTAAGGAAAAGGTGAGGCAGGAGGGAGAAAAGACATAGTTCAGTTCTGGCCAAGTGAAATTTCAGATGAAAATACACTCTCTTGATGATTACTATAACAAAGTTTGACCTCCTAAACAACTGACTGCTGAGTGAAATACTGTAATGTCTCTACCTAGTTTTCTCTGAGCCATGACTTTTCTTAATTTTACGTTTTGAAGAAGAATATCATGCTGAAATCCAAAGGCTACAAGCTATAGACACTCCCTTCTATCCCTTTCCCACTTACTATTACGATGCTAGCTCTTACCAATTTTGAATACAGATGTGTTTGTTTCAGTCTCAAACCACTTAATCACATTCTTCCCTTTTCTGCTAAATTAAAGCACCATCTACTGTCAGCAGTCCCTGCCAGATCTGCATGTGATCCACTCACTGACAAACCACTGTGTGTAAACATCTGCCTTTAGGTGGATAATCAGTCACGGGCCAGACTGGTGAGCATAAGCCGCTACACATGAGATAAAGGAACCAGTTCCACCAGCCAAAGCTGCTCCAGCAGCCTCTCTTCACAGCCCTGTTCCCACACAGTACTTGTAGACTGATCAAAACCCATTCTTAATTTTCTCTTGACCATACAAACCGGAGTGAGCTCATCACACCTCTTATGGTATGGCAGCTCTCCGTATCTTGAGGAACATTTGCAGTAACTCTCTGAACAGTTTTCAACTTTTCCCGAAATCTCCAAAGCACTGACTCTGTAACACCAGCATGCGGAGCTAATGCTGCTCAGTGCAGGGTCCCTTTCACACAGAGATTTTATGTACATCATTCCAATGCTCTTTTTATAGTCGTTGGTTTGCAGAATATAATCCTAATCTTGTAAGCACGGTCTAGTGTTACCTCTGTGATGCCTGACTTTTGATTTGGCTCCAGTAAAGGACTGCTCAGAAAAGGGCCGTACGAAAAGGTCTAGACTGACGCAGTCCTCCTACTCCACACTTCCCCAGTCTTTAGCTCTAGCAAATTTTCCTAGTGTAATTTTACATTTCCTACAGATCGGTGTTAACGGCTGTGAACACCTGCCAGCAGGATTACACTAGAAGTGTCACTAAAGGATTAATTCTCAACCCTGACAGTAACTTTTTAAGGCTGTGTGACATATCCCATTCCTAAAAAGGATATGTCTACAATGGTGTTGTGTAGAATCAGAATATAAGGGACGGAGACAAATAACTAATGCCTGTCTTAAAAAGGTTACTTTCATCAGTCTTCTAGTTAATCTAAAAAAATCCCACCTTCATCTACATGCCAAGATTTCATTTCCACAAAATCCAAGATAACTGACCTAAACTACACTGCCATCCTAGCTCTGTTCCAGATCTAATTTACAGAATTTTTCCTGCAAAACTGAGCTAATCAGCTTACAGCCACCTCTTTGTCATCTCGCATACTTCTCCAGCAATGGCACAACATTTGCTGTTCTACCCAACATGCCAAGAAGGGTTAAAAAGCAAAAGTAATAACAAAAGGAATTCTTTATTTAACTCTTTAAATACTCTTCAGTGCTAACTGATTCAAAAAGACATAAAATTGTCATTTAACATCCTTACAGTTACTAATAAAAACACAGAAAGCATTTCATTGTTGCTGTAAAATGGGGCAACACCATTCTATCTTTACCCAAACAACTGAAACAAATACTTAACTGAATGGTTCTGCTTTTACTCATTTTAACTGATAGGTTAATCACCTTTGGCCAGCTTCATGTCTGAACCACTCTCATACCCTGGTGGTCCTGACATATTTAAACGCATCCTCCTTTCTCCTTAAGTCTGCAGATAAGATTTTTTCATTAGTATCTTCTGACACTAAGGTCTAATCATTGATCTCTAGCAGCTTTTTCTTAGATTTCCTTCAAAAGCACCCTGCCCACTCTCATTGCAAAGCTGGAAGTTTGTGTTGCACACTCAGAAGGCAGTACTTGGGTGCAGACTGCCTTCCTGAGGTGCACAGGATGAAGAGATGGTGAGTCTTGGACTTTGCCTGGGTTCTGCACACCAGGCATGCATGTCAAGTCTGGGCAGACCAGACTGTTTTGATCAAGACAGGCAGAAAGGTGAGCGAGCTTGGTCTCACAAGCTTTGGCAGTCCAGCTGTGGGACAGTGAGAAGATTGCAAGGCCACCCTGATGGCACTGTGAAAGGGAAGGGGACATCAGGCACCCGAACTCACATCCCGACCAGAAGTCTGGACACTTAGCACCAGCATAGCTGGACTCCTTCACAGCCAGCATTGACTGACAGTGCCCAAGCATGGAAAACCTGCAAAGTCACTGCTGGCTCCAGGCAAGTTTCTGGCTGAAGAAACACACCGTTGCAAGCAGCATCAGTTACAGCTCAATTGTTTCTCCACAAAGATGTGAGCAAACACCTTCTTGTTTGTTTACATAGTTTGTCAAAGCTGTATTTCTTTTCCAGAGGAGCTCAAGGACTGAACACAATGGACACAGCCCGGGTTCCAATTTTCTACCAGGGTGGTATGAAGGAGGGTCACGGACTTTCCACACCAGAAAGACTTTCCCTAAAGCCCTAAGCTGGGAGCTGCAGCCAGATGTACAGCCTCTTGACACAGATGCTCAGAGGTTGAGTTCATCTACACCAAAACCGGGATTCACACAGATCTTCTGGAACAATATAGCACTGTAAACACATGTATGCATTGTAGCAATTGCTACTTGCCCTTCCTCTCTCACCAAAGCGCTTTAAGGATTTGTCAGGGGAGAAAAGCCACAAAGCCTTCCTTTACGCAGCTTTGGAACTAAAAGCTTTGAGGAAAGATATAACAGAATAATTAAAAAATACATCTTTAGGGTAACTGGTGCTTAGGGAGGCTTAGCATATTCTGGTTTGATCTGGCTGCTGCCACTTAAACTGGTGCTATCAGCCTGAGCCAGAGGGACACACACATCTCCTCTCCTGCTCTATCAAATTCCTTCCTCACTTGTTAGTTGATATACTGCATTAGTAAAGACTGTGTTAGTCATAAGCTCAAACTCTCAGATTTCCTCTATTAGCACCTGGAGGCAATACAAAAGGGTCAGTCAGGTTTTTACATTTATGCCTCTTCACAGGAAATTTATAGGTCATCACTGCAGAGACTTCACCCCAAAATCCACTGGAGTCCAGCCAGCAAAAGAGCCATGGAACTAGAAACCAAGCCCTGGCTGATTTGCAGAATGAGGTGCAGGCCGCTGAAGGAACCACTAAAGGAAGCGGTGAAAATGTTAGTGACATAAATGGGCCTGGAAAAGCCAGATGACAAGAGCTATGAAGTGTCATAGATGAGGCCCACCGACACATCTGCATTAGAGAGAAAGACATGCCAGCTCTGAAGGAAGAAGACACTCATTCTAGAGAAAGTCCCCTGGATCTCCAATCTTTTCCAGAAAAGCTCACAGCTAAGTTGCAACCACCCTCACAAACATGACGGCAGCACTACCTACCCCCTGCCCTGGAGCAGAAGCAGGTTACTATAAGCAGTTCAACACAAAGGTGCCATAACAAGGAGTCGTGAAGAAAACTAAGAAAGCAAGGCATCACTTACACTATGATAAAGGCGTCAACTATAGCATTTGTTCACATGCCCTCCAGCTGCTGCTAGTTATTAACACAACCCTAGTCACAATGGAGGGATTAGTTGGAGTGAGCTGGCAAAGCTGCTATGGGATGATGAAAGGTGTACGCATATCCGGAAGGATCAAGTTTGCCTCATTTCAGCACCATGTCGGTACATTGTGTCAGGAAAGGTGCATCAGGATGCCCTTTTGGCACAGGGATAATCAAACAAACAAGTTCATTTCCAGGGCTCATGGGAGGCACGTGAAGGTAACATCTCAAAGGGACAGCTTTGTGAAGGAGAAGTGGAGAAGCTTGGGTGGGGACAAGACCAAAGGCTCGGTGTAGATCTCCCACCACGCAACCCTAATCCCCTCTTTCCTTCCTGTGCTCTTGGGCACTGCTCTGACCTCACCTCTCCGCCTCTCCCACCCTTCCCATGGGAAAGCCGCACTTAGCGTGTGGTTACATGAGCGCGTGCTTCAATAGGCTCAGCAGCGCTCACCCTCCCCACCCATCCCCAGCCCTCTGCCTCTCATCCGGCCCTTGGCACTGCAACTCTTCGCTGGGAGGGGAGCTCTGTAAATGAGGTCACTGCAACGACTCAGGTTAAGAGAAAAACTTTTAAACTGGAAGTGTTTCAGCGACCCACTTTAAAGCCCCTCTTCAAATAGCAGCAGCACAAGGAGAAGATAGGGAGCTATGGTCTAAGAGCAGGCAGCAGCAGCAAAGATAGCTTCTTAAACTTCAACATTAGTGTAATTCCATCCTAAAGAGCAGGTGAACTTGGAGCTTTTTCCCTACTGCTAGAATCAGCCTACTGGACTTCAGAGAGGATACAAGTGGAAGGGTTCATAAGATCTCCTAGTCTGATCCCTTGTACCTCACAGACTCTAGCTGCATCTCTTACCTAACTCTTTCACAATAAGGCATTTTTCCAGCCCTCACGTCTGGCCTTCTCCAGTTGCTACAAGGAGGTGAGCAAAGCAGGGAGGTCTAGACTTTCTCCTTGACCAGTGAGCAGCAAGGGAGTGAGCTGAACCTCAAGGCCCTGCTCCCAGCACACTGGAGGTGCCACAGAGAGGAACTGTTGGGCTCTGCTTTCAGCCTGAGACAAAATGAGAAAGTAGCTAACCTTCTCTCATCAGTCTGCTCCATCAGCTCTTCTGGAATTCAAAATAGCAAATACCCATTGCTGCCAGCACTGTAATTCATTGATGATCACAGCTGAAGAACATTTTGGGAAGCATACCCACGTCTTCATCTATGCCCTCCTCACCAAGCAGGTTTCCAAGAGCAGCACTGAGGTAGCCTTAGCACCTCCTACAGAACCCAAGCTCTCTCTTGTTACAACCCTCCTGTTCCAACTCCATCCATCTGCTGCTTTAGGCTGTCACTTTGCAACTTGCTATCCCAAGCCTTTCTTCTCCCTTTCTCCCACACCAGCTTCAATTTTTATCTTTCCTCTCTAAGATCTGCTCACTTGGAAGGGCTATGGGACGTATTTGACTGTAAGGCGTACGTACTGCAGAAACAACATCCACCGCTTTGCATTTATCACAAAAGTTCTCAGGAAAACAGTATTTCCCCAAGATATCCATGTGTTTACAAGCATACCTACCACCAAACTTTGTTATTGCAATACTACAGAAATAAATTTCTAGCTTGTTCATACTTAATATTGCAGGGACTTTATACAAATTTAATGAAGGCTTAAGTGTTAGGTCTCTCCTATCTCTACACCAAACCCATAAGGAAGAACGCAAAACCAAAGTGAGCAGCTCATGCTAGAGCAGTTATGTTTCACAACCTTCTAAGAAACTACTTTTAAAAAAACCAAACCATATTCCACTTCTCAAAAAAAAGGTGAGCAGGAAGAGTCACAGTTACATTAACCTTCCCTACAAGAATCTTCTGCCTGCCCTCTATGCCTTCTGAAATAGTCTATATGTGAGTTTTTCCAACAGATTAAAATCTTAACTCTCCAACCAGCACTGAGATAAACCCCAGATGGGTGAGACTCAGCTGTGTGCAAAATCTCTAAGAAGGTCATTTGTAAAATGATTTTGTCTTCTGGACATCAGTTCTCAAATTAATCCAAACTCTGAAGGCTAACCCTATCCAGCACTGCGGTGAGGCAAAGCAAACTTCAAAGCAACTTAAATTTGCACATGGATTGCAAAAAAAACAAGAATAAACTTTCACACAGAAAGCAACTCCCAACTCCACAGCAGGCAAGATCCACAATCAGTGTGGCAGATGTGGAGGAAGGGCTGTAAAAGCTTACAAACTTCGTCATGGAAAAGTGGACAGAAGAGGAGCTTGGCCAGGAAATAAAACTAATGTGATTAGCCTGGGTTCAAGGAAGCACCACTGTTTGGAAAGGAATAGTAACCAGGACTTTGAAAAGAGATCATGTTCCAAACCCTCTGACAGCTTCTGAAAGAAACTACCTCTAAACTAACCCTGGCACTAAACCAAAACTGCAGGGCAAAGGGAAGGAAGGACACAAAAGCAAGGACAGGGAAGACTAAAGGACTATCATTGGGAAGCTGATCGTAAACAAGCCAGCGAGTTTCAGAAGCAACCTCTACAACAGGACTGAAGAATCAAAGGAGCTGCTCCTAAAGGCATCAATTCAAATACCATAGGACCCAGGAGAACTGCTATCGCCTCCTGGCACA